CTTTCGTCTTAAGGGAGTCTCGGGACGCTACAATAGACTATCGTAACACAGACTATTATTGAGACAAATGAAATTGCGTATTACAAATTATAGGCTGTTTGCTTCTTTTCGAATTAAACTAATGAGAAAGCTAGTATTAATAACAAGTTTAGACCGACTTTTAGACATTGGGTTTTATACATAACATCAAGCAAAGTGGAGGCTCTGCTGCATTCTCAGAATTGAAGTCCGCATTGAAAGTGGTAAGTCGCAGTGATGGTGTGGCAGGTTCCGCCTCCCTCTCTTCTACCCCTGGTTTCATGGCCTTGGAACGAGGAGAATGGGTAGAGGAATAATATTTTATTTGAGAAGTATAGTGAAAGTTTGCAGGAGGTTTTTTCCTCCTCAGAGGCCAATAGCCTCCGCTTTGTCACGTGGTTGTCGCAAACTGACACAAAAAAATATACCTTAAGAAAAATGTATTGGAATAACCTAACATTTGTTTGTTGGCCTTTTATGTTGCAAAACTTGGGAGAATATTTGATTCAGTTGCAATTACGAAAGTGCGTGAAACTGTGTTGGCATGAGTTTCTGCGCAGCACTCCAATCCTTTCCTGATTATGAAAGAAGTCATAATAATTGGGCAAAAGTGCACTGGTGAAGTAAACAAGAGCCAGAGCTTCACTGATACATAGACGGAGCCTTAAGTGCTTATGCACTCTAAACGAAGATTTAAACCAATAACCATGGTACTGAATATCCCATTCTCTTTGGTCAACCTCCTGCATCAGCCATCGCAACGTGATCAGTGTTGTAAGAAAAACATCGACCAACTAACCAGTCCCTCCAGTCATATAGTTTTCATGCAACTGAGAATATATTTGACAGCGACGTCACTGATGCCACTTTGCAATTCTACTGGATCTGGAGTTTTGTCCTACCTGAGAACTGCATTGGGGAAAGGGAGAAAGTACAAGCCATCACGTATGACCATCGCTAGTCGTAAGAATACAGGCCCAAATGAATAGTCATTTACTAAATGACCTGGTTTGTGGTAGTTTCGCAAGGATGAGGTCTCTTGCCTGTTTTTCCTCGCCACTTCTCCTCACTTCAGTACTGAAAATTCATATCTATATTTATCTGCGTTCCATCCAGCTAGTACATAATTGAATGTGTTGCATGTTCACTTTACTGACATTTTCAAACAGGCATCGTAGGCAGCTCCGTAACGAACCTTTTCAGATAGTTCACAGCCAGGGCTGGTGGCGCTTTAGTTGTGAACGGCATTCCTGCAAAACACGAGACTGAGGCAATTACCGAAGTTAGACGTCATTTTTAACCCCTCCGTTGAGGGTGGTCAGAGGTTCTTCCATTTGCAGTCTATGCCCTTCTTCCGTCAAGTTAAGGTTTACCATTCAGTAATAGAAATCAGGATGGATGTCATTAAGGATCTTGTGCGCTTTTCGCTGCCACCTATGTAATACCTGAAGTTGAAAGAAGACACAATACTAAAGTAGAATATGTACTGCCGACGTACATGAAATGTCCGGGGGACTTCCAGCCAGTGGAATGCAAAGGCGGAGCCTTAAGTGTCTGCACGACCAAAACGAACAACCAACCTAATAATCAGAGTATTGCATTGTATCCTCTTAATATATAATAATAAGGTAGAACGATAAAAATGGGAACTCATTGAGTGAGTTACTCCTTTACTAATGTTTGATTCTTGTTGTTGCATTTTTAAATGAGAGATGTACTACAATGCTTTTTATTAAATTTTTCGACTCCAACCATTAAACACACTACGCTAAGTGTTTCGGTGCTTACCTTCTGTTCGAAAAAAAGTCTATTAGACATTAGATATACTTCACTAAAACATCAATTAATTTCAGTAATTAATTTTTTGAGTGTCTAAACAGTAAACAGATGGCATGGCTTGCCTGTTTCTAAAAATGGGATTTTATGTGATCAAAGTTTGAAAAATATCTCCGAAGTCAGGATGGACATAATAGTCTTATTGACACTAATTTGTCAAGAGTCCCCTAGCATTCGACTGTATCGCCCCACGTTGTAAAGTTTTATTAGCGCACGGAGGGGCGGTTACCGACAGAAAGTGGTGTCTTTACACCGCAATCCACACCGCATAAAAGTACCGCTTCCTAGACGCTTTGGTAAATATTTAGAATTTCGGGATGCTACAGTTTTCCCCTTCCATAGTCATGGTTACAACCATTACAATATTTGGACAACTTTTAATCTAAAGTGACTAAAAGTATTTTTGCTTTGCTATTGACAATCCCCTAACTTAGGTTATCTCGGGCATGGTCGGTCTTTTACTAAATTTTAATGGTCGCACAGTAGTCCTACACAACCCATCTAAAGATCTTGCATTGTATTAACAACTGGAAACGTCTAATCAAATGCGCGAGTTTTTCGACGCCCTTGTTCGGTGGCGACAATGCAGGCACGAGAGCGTGTCCTTCATGAGGCAACACTGTAAGGCGCCCATTTTCTGGTGCCAAAGATACTGATTTAGTCAAATCGACCAACACAGAGTCGATACAAACGTTGAAACTGTTGCATTTTTTCTGATTAGGATTTTTCCCACTACCCCTTGAATTTTCACATTAATTTACTTTACACAGCTACATAATTTACTTGGCTAGTTGCAAGTTTCTGTAATACCGTACTACAAGTCAATCATTTTTCCGTCAGTTTTTCTTCCTCGTTAAACTTTTACTGCTCTTTCGCGCCACAGATCATCTTCTCCATGGAAAGCACAGAAGTAAGTGAAGTTATGGAAGAGCTTCCTTAGTTATTAGTTACAAAATAACTAATCAACAGAGTTTCTTCCAATTGCTCTAGTTGGTGATGCACAGGATGGGACCACTAACCGATCAAACAAGCACACTTTCATAACTTGCATTGATGTGTAGATTTCGAAAATACTTTTGTGGTTAATGTTTTTACTTCATATCATCCGCTCTTAATATAGTCTTGATGGAACGTTTTTCAGGCGACTTTACCTTGAATCGTAGTGGGTATTCGCGAGCCTGCTGCCAGTGATGCAGCTTCACTCATTTTCCCCACTCCGCATTCCCGTGGTGCGTGCAATTGCATCAGTCTGTCCCCGAGGCTTTACTCTGCCTCTTCTCATAAGGTGATTAGTATCCGTGATGCAGCTACTCAAAATGGCACCAACCACCAAAACTTTGCTAGTTACTACATTTTTCCATCAACACTTTGCCACCTGCTAACAAATAAATCGTTTCATTTTAATTAATCACCCTTACTGTCGCAGTGATAGCTAGGAACAGGAGTTTTCCCCAATGACCACTTTTGCAAAAGAAAAAGAAACTTTCCAAGTTCATCGTTTGATTAACTTCCACCAATCGAGCATCAATAGGTGGCTGCAATAATGAAATAGGTGCCTTGGAAAGGATGCAATATCAACCAACGTTTGTTTATCCTCTTTGGTGAGGTTGGACTCATCTCATCCATAATTGTCCTCGCGATTCTGTTGCCTGAAAAACATCACAGAGTAGATCGGTATTTTACACTTGTTTGGCTTTTGTTTGATCACTGATGCATCAAAATCATTGTTAGTTTTGTCCCTTCTTAGGGTTTTCCCATACTGAACAAATGTATGTAGGTTAGAATCACAACAAAATAAAAATGCGAATTTAACGTTGATGTTACAATACCCAACTACCCACATGCGATTAGCAGTTCCTTGTTTGCATAGGATCCACTTAGTTTCCCGAAATGCTAAACTAAGAGAATTTTAATGAGCGTATAAATGGTACCCATTAACTTTTGCCCTACGATAATTCGGGATTCGGTTGGGAAGGTAATCTGAAATCAAGCAAACTCGTGATGCGCATTGAGTCCCTTCAGTAAGCATGTGATCGAATCAACCCATTAGGTGAATCCGCTATATTCGAATTCTTCGAGTAGAGCCTTTTTATGATACTAAATACTGATTTTAGTTCCCCTTTTACCAAGGTAGACGGAAGCCCCCAATTTTCGAAATGTGTAAACAATATTTGACCCTACAGCTAGAAGCCTATTTCAGTATTTCAAACAAGATCGGAATAAAGCGGACTGTCATCATTGAAAATTGAAGGTTAGTCCAATGTTACCGTGCTGTGTGTTTGTGCATTAGTAGTTGTAACACCCTAGCTTAAAAGTAGATCGAAGTAGCAGGTATTCAACAGCTCTTTTAAGGTTTTCTCCTGTGGTCTCTCGGTTTTACTACCGCCCTTCACTTCCGTGTTAAAAGAACCATGAATGACAGTTTGCTACAACACAGGCTTTGAAGCAGTAATTTTGCGTTAAAACTGCACAATCTTTCGAACTAATTAGCATTTGATCTTATGCAAGAACCCGTTTTGACGATAGGAAGCTTAGTTTTAACTAAAATATTCATGTTAAATTATCAACACTCAGAACTAGACGGCATTTTAATTCAAGTGCCTTACACATTCATTTGAAAATTACCAAAAAACTCATATTTTGTAACTTTAAAAAAGGTAAGTGAGCTGTTGACTGCTTGGATTACAGACCTACCAGTGGATAACAAAAGAATAGACCGCAAGAATACACCGACTTTACAAGAATTAAACTGTTCATTATAATAAGGTGTGAATTCATTAATTATTTATTCAATCGAGTAACTCCCTTCTACGTGTATGCGCCTCCTACTGCAACTAACTTTAATGGTGTCAAGCACCACCTCACCGTGTAGAATAAGTAGATTTTAGATTTCAAAGTATTCTCAGGTAATATTGTATTGGTGATTCTAAAAATAATTATTCATCAACCTTATGCCAAATCGAACGGTCGAGTTTGTAAGTGGGGATGGTTTAGGGAATAACTTCCATTCCTTAGTGATCCCACGGAGAGTGGCGTAGTTGTGGGTTGTTCGGCTTCAAAGTAAATTATGTACCCACTGTGCATTTGAACCAAGGGCCAACCAATTAAATTGCTTCATGAACAAATCCAAATTTGACAATACTAAACCAAATAATGGGCAATTTTATATTTTGGCCAGCTCTGCAGCAAACGGGAAACTATGCAACATTTTATGGTGCAAGTTTTCAACATAGGCAGGCAGAACTTCCCTCTTAGAATGTTACATTTGGAACCACAAGCATTTCCCTCCACAAAGTGGTTGGTATATTATACTTGCCTTGGTGCTGGCTTGAAATTGACACATTCTTCGACCCGACCTCGTTTTGCTTACTTGAGATACTTGTGCTTAGGCACCAAGTCGCAGAGGGAATAGCGGTACCGGTGGCACCAAACACGATTAAACCCATGGACAAACAGGTGCATGGTGCCCCTGGTGAAGCTGCTTGGGTCACTAGTTGTCGGCTAATGCAATCATCGTCTTATGAATGCGCCGTAGTACATTGGAGTTCCAATCTATACTTTGTCGTCTGTTCCCTTGTCAAGCTATGGGCAGTTTAACGAAGGATGGTTGGTTAAAACTAATTAAGCGGAGTCTTTAAGCAGAGTAAATTGGACTGAAAGGATCAGTAGTTATCAGCATTTGTAAAATCGAAGGTTCAAAGGCTTTGTTGGTTATAGCGATTCCGCAAAAAGTGGTTATCTTGTGCATTCTTGGTAAATGCGGTTCGTTTTATTTGAATTCAAATGCGTTCCCATATAATTCCCTCAAAAAAACCAAGGGGGAATTCGTTATAGCCTATAAGTGAATAAATTTCCTAGTGGAACAAATGATTAACACTAAGATAGTGTGACAGGATATGCCTGTACAACTACTAAACAGTGCTAATTTTCAATGGGAGGTAAAAAGATATCAATTTCTAGTGACGAATAATGAGAATGCGTTATGCCATACCTCAGGAAACCAACCGCAAGAGGGCCAAGACCGCCTATATGGCAGTAGGCAATCAAAACGTTCGATGGAAGTGAGGTGAAGGGCTGAGGTGAAAAGCGTCACCATTCATGTTCTGAGGTAAACATTAGAAATGTGAAAGACCAAAGGAGAGCTTTATGTGCAATGCGGTAATGCTGTTCCCCGACTGTTTGCGTTGGCCCTTTAACGGGCGTGCACACGCACTCTCGTGGGTTTGGAATTTCCCCATCCTACAAAGAGAGGAGCACCAACGACCCTGTGATTCACGCAATTTATAGCCGAGTTCTTGCATTCCTGATTCGTTATCTGAAGGTATATTTCAACTTTCAGGATCCTATCTTACCCAGGCTTATCTTGGCTTATTCAGTGGCTTTAAAAGTAAATTGAAGTTGTTCCTCTGTTGTACTTCAATGAACAATAGCAATCTGCTAAAATGTATAGAGAGAAAATTTGCCTGTTCCCAATTGAAGCGTATAGCGTCGATCATTTTGGAAGTTAAAATACCCCTTATCTTTAAACTTGCACGGTAGAGATTTGTGTAAACAGCTCTGTAGAATAAAAAGTAAGTGAACTTCGCGTAACTGCGGCGTTCTTATCCTTTATCCAAACCTTAAATGACTTTTGCAGAAGAAATTCATATCCTCGTAGGAGAACGCAAGATTATCGAGTGATTTCAAGCGTTGTCACGGTGTGGATTTATGCTGGCGCGGAACTTAAAATACCATCGTAGTAGCAGCATTTTCAGTGGTGTCAATCGCAGTTTACCCATTTGCTAATTGGAAACGAGTGCCATTGAACCCGTCATGCTGAATGCTAAAACAGGTGGTAATATGACTGCTCTTCCCTCATGGCGGATGCTTATAGGATGTTAGGCCAACAAACACCACAGGTCGTATGTATGACCACCTCTGGGACAACGCGGAAATTTGAGTTGCTAATGTAGTATCAAGAGCAAGTTTTATGTAAGCGTTACCTCTGGGAACTATCAATTAATAGTCCTCTAAGGCGAATGATAGATCATTATTAAGATGTATCCCCGGCTGTAGTGGTGGTGTGCGTTTGCATCCTGTACTTGAAAATGCTGATTTTGACTTGACGTCGAGGGTGAAGTCGTTGTAGCTGCGCACTTTTGCATCTAGAAACCGTAAATATGATATGATGGTCATTTCAATACTGGTCTTTTGATGGCGCAAATGCAGCGACCCACCATAATCTCTTTCAACCGATCTTGAGCACAAGGCGTCATAAAAGCCAATCGCTGTATGCCTGTTGAAATATGAAGGCGTAATTTTTCATTTCCAAATTGCTTCACAGTTGTTATTCAATTCACATACTCCTCATATGCTGTCATTGCGTGGTTTATTAGTTTATATTAAGGAAGTAGAAACTATAGCTAATAATACTGTAAAGTTTTGTCAAAGGTAAACTTTAAGCCTACGGTAAGATGCATTATGGGGTACTTAGATGTGGTTAAAATTCAAACAAACATCAGGGAAAGGCAAAGTTGTCATTTAGTATTTCAGGTAAAGTGACTTGAAACCAAATTTTCCAAAGTTTGCTTAATCAATTATGTTATTGGTGTTATAGAGAAGCAGTACCACCACAATGGTACTTTTGAAAGTATTCAGGTTTATATGCTACCCAACAGTTATTCTGTGAGGCAAAATAGAGGCAAGTGGGATTGTGGAGCGTGTAATTCAGATAAGGCGGGAGACGGCTTAAAATAAGTGCCAAAGGGACATGGGGAAATGGTGCATATGAAAAACATGAATAGGAGGCCTTTGCTGTGGCAGATTGGCTTACCGTGAGTACTATTTGAATTTTGCGCCCCTCGCCTCCCACTGCTCCCTGAATAAGACATATTGGTAAGTCGGAATTGTTGGCCAATGTAGGCCAGAGCTTCCTAATCTACCTCCCCTCCGTAATTTATTACTCTACTCATCTTGGTGATGTCGCATTTCTCATTTACTAAAAGTTTTGCAGCTTTTTGAAGTTATTTCTTACTATTTTATTGCAAGCAGTCATAAAATAAAGCAGTAGTAAAGATGCTTGTTATATTTGAAAAGGCCTTAGAACTCGTGTAAACTAGGCTCATCTAGTCTTGCGAGCACCCATTGGGACGAATGAGGGGATTTATGTAGTGCGAACCTTGCCGCAAAGTGTTTACCATGCTGATTTAAAATAGTAAACAACTGTCTAATTATAAATCGAGGCTAACGGTTACACCACACTAAGCACTGTCTTATAGAGTCCGTACATTCGTCCTGTAATTCAAACTTACCAATTTTATTGAGATTCAGAAAGATCTGCTCTTATCGAGGTGCTCGAAGATGAGCAGTATAACTTTCCCAATAACTAATATCAATGAAAATTGAAAGCTGGGACAAACACAAGCGAAGTCATTGTTGACCTTCAATCTACCTATAGTCCTCTTTTAGTGCAACGGACAGTCCAAATCGGCGTGATGACTGTCTCGGTGATAAGCAACCCAGGGATTCCTTTCATCGTTAAAGTAGCCTTCAAATCAATTAACAGAGCAATTTGGATTGGACGTAGGTAAAAGCTCTTATTGAAAATAATCAACATTGATTATCGATTGATCAAATGGTTTCTAATACTCAATTTCCAATATCGATCATTGGAAACGGTGATGTTATAAGTCTCTCGTGCGCCTTGAGCACAAAAAGGCGGCTAGTCAGGCGTGGGGATGGCTCTACAGATGCGAGTGGCTGGCAGAGGCCAAAACCAGGAAGTGGTGAGGAGGGACGCGTTCACTTTCAGGTCAAGAGAAGGTGCGACCGCAGGTGGTAGCACAAAAGTGCAGGATTAGGCAACTCGGGTGAGGTCTTACTATGACGGTTAGAGATGCCCTTGTCTGCATGTACATTTCCACATTCTGTTGGTAGAAATTTCGGTGCATGGAAGAATCACGAAAACTGGCTCATAATTACCTCTCAGTCTTCACATTTGCAGCGGTTGGTTACATGAGAGCATTCGTTCCTTTGACTCATTCTTGAAAAGAACAAAATATAATAACTGAAGTGAATTAACTCATCACTAAGTAGGCATAGTTGATTAAAATTAGTGTATTGTTGAATATTCTTGGCTGTCCGTCACGTCAGCAAGGTAGCACAAACATCTGGAAAGCGAGAAGCTGTAAGGATAGCATGAACTCAATTCGGTCAATCCAAAAGACTAACATATTTTCGTGATCATTTGAATGCATAAGAAATTGGGTAAATTTTAGTTAACTGTCCCTACGACAAATTTTACACCTGCCTGCTATTTTGATGTCTGCTTCAACACCGACGATTGCAAAGTCGGCACCCGCTATAACGTCTTTGCACAGTAGTGCAAGGCGTGTGGAAGTTCCTCTTGAGCATTTGTCTGGGTGAAGAAATTATTCATATGATCCGCAGCTCAAGCTTATTGCATTTCTTCGCCTCGAAATGCTCCAATTCCGCAAGTTTCCCCACATCCGGTGAAGGCTAGATGAAAGGAAGATTGACCTTTGACTTCCAAATTAACGTACCAACTAGTTAGGGGTTTTGCGAATATTTTCAGGTACTTTACTTAGGCACGTGTAATGACAATATTTTAATGTACTACTTTACATTGTTTCCGGTTTTTTGAGATTCAAAAAAATGGCGGGTTTAGAATTAATGAAGCCGTTAGACACTTTATCAAATATTCTGGCTGACATTTGACTTGTTGAAAAACAAAACGGTATTTTTCTGAGTATTATGCCGAAGATAAAGAAGCTTTGCTGCATCAATTACAGTACTACAAAACTCGTGATTTTTTGAACGTAATCAGTGTCCTCTCTTGCAGAACCTTTCGATTTAAGATGAGGCCAGATGGAAGATAAAATCGTATACGAGGGGTGAGTTTTGCTACTATGTTGTTTTTTTTCTCTGTGAAAGTCTACAGATCCCCTATGCTTAACCAGGTGTTGTTGCTAAACTAAAAGACTTGCTAGCGAATGGAGGGGTTGAGGATTTTGTAAACCGATAATCTTCTTCCGTCTACCCCGATGGCGACCCTGGAAGTGTGTGGTTACGAAGACTCACCTAGCCTCAGGTCACAACATCCACATGGCAATTCGTTACATGTTGGCTACTTTGTATCTCTTTTTTCACCCATCTATGTGGACAATTCCAGTTCTTGTTGCTGAGCCCCCATCGCTCCAGACTCCTGTGGCTGTGGGAGTTACAATTGGCTTTTATGTGAGTTCTCGGGTCCTCGTTTGTCGCCCATTCAAGGCATATGAAACTGCTCAGGTCACCGGCATGGAGAGATCAAGAGAACCAGCACCATCATTGTGGAGGCAACTCCGTAAGGAGGGCTGGCATGCATGTGCGTGAGTGCTAGCTTGCGTACACGTGTCGCATGCTGCCATCGTCAAGGTCACGCGAGTACGTGTGAGATGGGTTGCAACGCTGATTGGCTGGACAGGTGTGCGATCGTGCGTGCGCATCGATGGGCAGACCTCATGCCGGGAGCAGCCAATGAGGACCCAAGTGTGCGTGTGTGCGAAATGGTGAGGGACTGTGATTGGTGAGCCCGCAATCCAAGCCAATCACACGGCCAGCGGTGCATAACACGTTGAAGATCAGGTTTCTTTGGCACCCTCACAGTAATACTTTCAAGGATCAACCTTCCCAAAAATCCTCCGCACTTTCTGATGTCAAACGGAGGTAAGTATTTACTCTGTAGGCATATTATCAAACTGCGCATTGGGTAAACAACAATAGTAAGAACATTTCATACTTTACTTAAAGTGCGATATTAATTAGTATGTTAGCTAATTTGATTTATTCCATTAAATCCACTTCTCTTTATGATTAGCCAAATGGGCTGTTATTTCGACGGTTTTAAAAGTGCATACAAAAGTCGCATTGAAACACCTTATGCTTTCTCCTCCTCACAGCAAGAAAAGTTTGAATAGGTGGTTTGGTATTCAAACGTATTTCGATGACTCTCACCTCAACTGCTCTTTTCTCAAAAATTCATCCTTTTGCCCAAATTTTTGGGTGTTGCTACTAGCTGCTGTCAGACCTTTGTTTCTCACATGAAAATTTCAGCAAAATAGTATAGGTGCAATTTTTTCTTAATGTATTGTCAGATTGGAGTATGTGGTGTTTAAAGCACGTTACCTATGCCTTACCCAAAATGATTTACGGTAAGGGTGTTTTCAGTTGTACCATCTTAGAAAATTCTTTGGCAAATTAACTCATATTCTTAAGCATATTATAAAATAGCTGACGCAAGGAAACGAAGTCATACTTTGGGAATCTCTGGGGATGCGACGTGGTGAGCACTACTGACCCAGAATCCACGATAGTCATTACGCTTTTTTTGCAGTTAAATTTTTGTGTCTACTTCTACGTTCTATAATGAGCAGAATAAAAAGGTATACCACGGTGAAGCTATGTGAGAGCTGCCTCTATTTGTTTATTAAAATGCTGCCTTTACTGCTGAAGTATTTATGTCATTCCTCTATTTGAATACACGATATCGTCGATGGAAAACCACAAATTTATGGCCCAAAATGTGTAAACAAGTCACGTCTCTTGCTGGATTAAGAAGACAGAGAGCTGCCCTTAATAACTCTTCTTGAATGATTAATTATTTTTGGGGTTTTGCAGTTTTGGTCTGCTTCCTATTTGAGAGGCTCTTATTTCTTAGCTACCTGCGTTTTGCATTCGCTAACAAAGATCGTGAACTCTTAGATTTTGCATATTTATACATTTACTCAGGCGCGAATAATTACACGGATTTGCGCGTGTTGCATCGATGATGTTCTCAAATAGGAAGGTTATGCAATGACTTAGGAGGTTGCATTAATTCAGGTGCTCTGAGATTCCCTTTTCCACCCCAGTTTTGTTTATCTGCAAGTACATCAAGGAAAGTGATGAGACGCCTTTAGTGAGGTGGTCCAAATCGGGGGAGGCAATGTGGCTTAGGCCTTGTATGCTAGTCTCGGAGAATCAATACTTGGGAGGCGGGTAGCAGTACCTCAAACCTATACCCACTCCACTGCGAGATGCAGGAGGCGCTGGCAGGGTGGGGCGTTGCGTTTCAGATTGCGCACGCTGCGTGGCTCGCGCCTCTGCGTGGGTGCACGTCTCGTAGTCGTCAAACGACGCGCACACACTTCCGCACCCTCAAAGTGTGTGTATACCCACGCCAGCACGGTGCTGCTCAAAGAGGGTGATTCACTCGCCACCATCGTTTTGGTGCTGGTGGCGGTGCTGTTTAACAAATCACTTCCACCATACTGTTGTGAAGAGAGTCTGAGTTGCCTCATAACCCTTGATCCCACCACCTTACTGCACTCAGGAGACTAACATTGTGATTTGGCCTGCTATCTTCGCCCTGGTTCTGCTTCCATAACCCTCTTGGTATTCAAACTCCAAGAGATCATGGCATCAATCCAAAAGTGACCTTCCTATTAATAATCAGAGACCATTTATCAAGTCTAAACAAGCACAAACCAGGGTGTGCTCACTAAATTAACCTTTGGTAATAATTTGCTCTTGAAATAGACTATATCTGGCTAAGAATCAGAAAGTAGGTATGTCAAAAGCGAAAGGGTTGAGAATTTTTACTAGTTGGTTAACCCTCTTTAAAAAACTGCAAACAATAGTAACTAACAGAGACATAAGAGCGGGCGTAGCTCCTGTACATACGCAGATGCTTATTAATAACGAATGTCGTGATGACCACATTTAGGTCAGGCAATGGGAATAGCAGACAGATTGGCCTCAGATCAGGTGCAAATTGCACCTAAGTGATCATGGAACACACTGGCCTTTTATTGGCCACATGAGTTTGCGCCAAACTATAACAGGATTTACTGACCGTGAAAAATGTTTCACAAACAGCGCAGACTCTTAAACATAAACAGTCGTTGTCACCCTGCTGAAATATCATTTGCCTACTACAATTTGCATCCGCCCACAGGAAGGACTAGATTACACGACTTTGCATACTTGCGATATCAAAAAAATGCATAAATTTGGATACGGTCGTGCTAATAAAAGATACCTTGAAAAAATGGTTGTTTATGCACCAGAGGTCCAACTTAATCAGGACATTTACCGTCAGAGGGGATTTGGGAATTTTGCCACATTGGAGGGTACCATCCAAGGTAATTTAACCAAGTAATGAATGCAGTTCACTTCCCAGATATTTACTTTTTACTATTTTACAACTAATGGCAGGCAACTGTCACTTTTCTATTTAACCTATAACGTTGAAAGTTGAAGGAGTAGTAGTCATTACGCTTTCCTTTCTTTCCTGATGAAGGCACACCAAATTATATCATTCTACATAAATCTCAAAATAATTCAGTCCCACAATTCCACTAATGTGTTGAATATTTCCATAAAATAATCTTTTCCCCATTGTTTTACTTTATTCCGTACTCACATTGGAACGTTATTTGTCTTAGAAAGGTACCCTTGGAGTGAGCATAACTTCAGCGTAATGACAGAGGCAGGGGATTCCGATTCGATATGTTGGTTTGTTGTAGTTGCAAAAATTCGTCATTTGGGTGGCAGGAAAGTCTATTGCAAATTCTGCCACAGGATGACTTAATTTTATCCAAGAATAAATGGATCGTATTGATAATAGACAACATTTATCACGTCCTCCGGCGTTTCTGCGAATTCAGCCACAAAGCCCACAGCTACTAAATAGCTGTGCTCAGCTGGATTGGAAGCTGCAACTCAAACACGTTAAGATCCCATTTAATGGGCCGGTGTAGAAAAAAACTGCATATGATTTATTTCTGTGGTTAATTTTGGTCACGCATCTGGTACATAGGTCTCGTGTAGGTGTTTACATACACAACACAAAAGTCACTTTTAATAACCTATTGAACCGCATTGCCAGGTACCGACAGGTTCGACCATTTAAACAAGAAAAGGACAACTGGACAAGCATCAGTCTGCATCGTAACATGTAATTGAATTAACAGTTGAAATAATGATTTGGAAGACTTTTATAGGTCACCATGCGTTTGAAGGGATTGACACCGCCATTCCTAAAATAATGGAAAATTATCCACGTACATTAAATAGGTGGTTTTCGGGTTGAACATTAAGGCGATTGCACCATCTTCTACCTACTTTAAACTAAGTCGCTCAGCCTGCGTAAAATGCACAACTGGTGGGTGTCTCAATCCAGCTCAAGAGTACTGAATATAGGGGCTTAATGAGCCGTTTATATCAACTTGAGACCTATGGCAAGCCGAAGCACTGCTAGTTGCTGGTCTCCTTTGTGATAATAATCAGCTTTCTCAGTGGGATAAATGCTATAGCTGGAAACCGCTACTAAGATGATCATCAACTGGAGACCAGTAACTTTCCATCCATACCTGTACGAAATTCTAAAGAATTAGGAAATCATCTGGCAATTTATTCTCCACACAAACGATAACTATTTCAATGGCTTTTCCCTGTGTCTGCATCACATAGAGGCTTGTTTATTTACCGTAGATTCACAACAGAAAAGAAAGGGAGAATTTAAGACACTTTCCCATCCACCGTTTTGTTTAAACAGAGCCCGTAAGCACACGCAAACACGAACAGGGGCTATTGATCACATAGAAAAGAGGAAACGGTTTCTAACCCTTCTATTTTCTTGCTCTCCTCTTAAGGCCTGCCTCTGATCCACGTAGCACATATTTGGTTATGCCTGTCATTATCTACCTTTATTTTAATCACCCCTGAAGGAAAATCGCAGTCGTTTTTCTTATGCGCATTAGCATCTACCATCCGTTATTCCCCTACCCCCACCATTAATTTCTTTCAAAATTTAATGTTTATCATAAGCAACCATAAAATGGACTCCTTTTAGGGGATATCATAGGGTCCAAAAGGTAATGCAACATGATTGAGGCAGTGCGGTAGTGTATGCTAACCCGCATTTCAGTTTGGTTTTTTTTAAGCTCCTTCTTCCTGCTATTGGCAAAATTATTGTTTAAAATGCATCTGGTTTTAGTGTAGCATCGCATTTACTACTTACATGATTGTTTGGTTCCTTAATCTTGTTACTGGTAATGATTGGAGGTAATGCTTGACTTTCGATTACTTTTCCATTTAACAGAATCTTGATGTTTTCACATGTCTAGTCCGTTGACCGACAGTACTAAAGTGAGAGGAGGTAATTGAAATCCAATCTTTGCATTTTTACGGAAGATTGCTGCACCAAAATACTACAAACGCATACTTGTAGGCTGGCTTCCTTGGCTTCGTGTGTCAGTTAATGAATAATCACAGCAATCTAGTCTGAACTGTTAGGCAGTTCGTCCTATCAATGGGACGTTTAAACTATCTTTCACCAAAGTGAAGCTAATTACTGTAAACTCAGACCGACTTTATTTAACTATCCCTATGAGTGATATCTAAAGCAATTAAGATTATAATCATGAATTCACCTTCTTATTAGTAACAATTTACCATCTAACCAAGCAACGCTTCCGCAATTTTTTTGCGAATAAATCCTGCTTTGCAACTAAGGCCGGCTATACAATTACTTGCCACGATTTAGCATGTGGCGCAGCTATGTATTGGACCGATTTTAATGTTATGTGCTTGAAAAACTGCAGTAAAGCGGCTCCTCAGTATCACAACATTAAAAGTCGCAGGTAGAATGTGCGCCTCTTAATCAGCTCCTGGACGAAAAAGAATAAAGAATTGACACTAAAAATTTAATCATGCTCCTTGACCAAGACTAAATTTAGTGGAATAACGAAGAACTGCACTTGCTGACAGTCCCCAGACAGATTTTTTTTTATCTACTAGAGTTAAATGTTAAGATGCAAGTTTTAAATGAATCAATACTTTTTTAAAAACGCAGAACCTGCTGCTAACCTAGGGTTTGTTATTGTTTGTGGTGGCTATGATGGTGCCCACACAGAACCCGTAGGTGACGAATATAAACACATGGATGACTGATTCGATGTTTCACTTAACTACAACCCTTAAAACATCGTAATGAAGTCGATATCAGATGCAATATAAGCGAGGGAAAGTCAGCGTATCTGGAAAAACAGTCCGCCTTCCAACTAATCGTAGTACAGTCCGTTTTCCTCATTTGAACCAATAGAAATTTTGCGTACGGGCAAATGACCATGCAGATGATACGGGGAAATATCGCTAACCAATCACAAACATCCTCCACCTTATTCACAAAACACGCATTTAATACCCATTGGTTCTGGTGATCTCCTCCGTACATGAATGGTAATCCTTATTCAGCTACAATATTCTACAAAGCTCACTCAGTAAACTTTGGATTCGCGACAGTTCCAGCTGTAATTTCTGCGTATCATTGTTGGCCGGCCAATCAGGTGCAGATTTACCAGAGCGCATGCGAAAATGTGGAATAGTGCTATTTGCCGTTTGAAATTTTCCGCATTACTCAAAATCAACCCACCGTTTAGCTTGTGCAATGTGTGCAGCACATATTCATTAGCATTCCACTTGTATTTTTCATCACCTACACCACCAATTAATGCCATAGGCAGAGGCTTTTTGAATGAAGCCCTTGGGCTTAAGATATCAGAAAGTACAAATGAGAGGATCCCGCATTTTTGTTTTGTTGATCAGCTACAAAACTCGTTTCTCCTCCAGCCACCAGAAACGGGGGTAGTGTACTTGCAGAAAAGAGTGGCCTTTAGAATGTAACGAAATAAATAATAAGAGCTGGTAGCATGAAAATATTACCCCAACTACCACTTCCACCCAATTCCCCCTGGGACCACATTTAGATTCTTGGAGCATTTCAAGCCCAAGGAGTCACGGGACTCTATTTCTAGCAAAAAACCAACCCTCCCTCTGCCCTATGAACCCAAAAAGCACGAGGTCCAGGCATTGATCCAATCTAGCCGTGCAACGGAGTGAAGGTCAACGGTACGTGCGTATTTAGATGCAAATGTGTACGCACAAGAAGGCCTGTGCGCGGGTGCGCGACTGCACATTGTTTATAGGAGGCATTGCGCGCCGGTGCATGCACTCAGTGCGTGCGCGCACCACGGCGAGGCATTATCGATTGCGCACGCTCCAACTGGACGCGCGCGTGGTCGCAGGCGGCCAGTGTGCGCATGCACTACGCTGTGAGGTGAGCGCGGCGCTTGGCCTCGCACCTCCATCGGCCTGGCGGTGAGACAAGTTATCACTGGCCACGTGGACACTCTCCACTGTCAAGTAGCGAAACTTAACGTTGTAACCCCGTCAGTCAATTTTGGCGTAGGCGTGATTGTGCCCGCTTCCTGCGTGCGGTAAAACCCCATATTTACCTAAAACTTACACAGAATTAGTAACTCAAATAAGTGGTAGTCGTGGTGTAACACGATCGCACAAATACTGTTAAAATACTTGTTTTAATTTGTTATTAGAAAATACTACTGCAGATGAGAAACAAAAGCTCCTCAATGGCGCACTGCAAGATTCAGAATGTAACGGTCAGGAGGTCTCGAATGAAGTGGCGATACTAGATGAAAATCAACTCGCTCAGCTTCTAGTTAGAGCACTTTTCCCATCTTTCGCCAAGGAAATCCGATTACAAGCGCTCATCGCTTATCAAATTGATGGGGAAAACTACCGCAGCCTTATTGTGAATCGATGCTTTAAGCGAGTAGCTGGGGAAGAAGCGGACAATAAGATTACTGCAATCTCGCCAGAACTGGTTGTTGCCTCACCTCTAAATGACTCGGGCGTTGAGTGTGGCGATCCTCCCGTTAGTGTCGAAACAGAGGGACCCGTGACACAGTCGACCTCGAGGAGGAAAAGGAAATTCTGCAGACCTTGCAAGATTCCACAAAGTCCACCAGGTGCCCTTGAAGAAGTTCCGCCCTGCAAGATGCCCGAAATGGAGCAGCATTTGGTCGGTCAAACTCCAGAGGTTAGCGATACCATCGCACCAACTCTCATGAATGCTCTCGCTAGCGCGGCCCAACTGGAGCCCAAGCATCAGGTCCCAATCCTCCCTAACCTCACTTCCACTCCTCCAACAACCAACAAGCTTGTCCTCCCCCTTACCACGACCCCAAAGGTGAGTAGCAGCACTCCTCGGCCTATTCTTCCACGCCCAATGCTCACCAACACTACCAACGCACCGGTGACGTCAGTGCAGTCACTGGCTAGCCTACCAGACCCTTCAAACGATCCCGTCTACTCTTCCGAGACAGATGATATTCTCGCATCCACACGGCGTTATGGCAAGTCCTTTGTCTGTAACCAATGCAAACTCGCCTTCCTCTCTCTCAACTCGCTATGCGAGCACACCTACTCGCAGCACAAGGCCTTCCGATGCAACTTCTGCGGCGCTCAGTTCACACAGCGATCGAACCTACAGAGACACTCTCTGAGGCACGTGGGGTTTAAGCCCTTTGTGTGTGGGGTCTGTCAGAAGGAGTACTACCGGAAAGACCACCTTGTACGGCACATTGAGGTCACCCATCCAGGCACGGACTCGAAGAAGAACATCATTGTCAAGCTGACCTCAGCTGAATGTCTGGACTATCTAGATACTATCACACAGCAGCACACTCAACTGCAGCTTCAAAATCCCCAGACAAAGTCGGATAAGCAAGAGGAATCAATCGCACCGGTAGCCACAGCCATGGCGGCGGTTGTAGACACAAATCTCCCCGCGGAAACAGCTAGCATGAAAGCCGCTTAAACGGCGAAAGAACCCAAAACGGCTGCAGGTAAAACAGCCAATACGTAGTGCATTTTCTCCCTGACTTGCATACTTGGCTTCGTATACGTTCCAAGACTACACGGTAATCGCTTTAATTTCTAAAAACAAATAAATGCATTCCAATCCCGATTGATTTACTAATGGTCTTTTCCATTAACGCTATATCCTCGAGATAAAGCGTGCTGATACAAAAGTTGTCACCCGGTTTGACCCCGATTAGTGTTTTAATCACAGCGAGCAAGCGTTATTAACTCCAACAAGAATATCAAAGCTCTCCAGTAGGACGAAATTTTGTCTAACATAGTCAACAGCAAGCCTTCACTCAATTTCCACAAATAAAACGATTAACACAATAGCCCCAACAATGCCTAACCTAAATCCAGATGGTGATTCATAATTTTTCTCATCAAAGGGGACATTCAAAAAGAGAATAAGCGCGCTAATAAGGCCAAAGGGAACTTTGACATCATAGTTTGCCACCCAAGATCAGCTGAATATCTAATATACAATGGAAAGTTGCAGTCTACATAACTGCAACAACAATTCTTCGTTGAATCCTGAACCCTTTCGGCAGAAAGGGGCTTTCTGAATTCACCAGATTACCAAGGATTCAGAAGTCCAAATGCGAGGTCATATTGCATCACCACGATAGCTTTGCTGTTAAGGTCCGTGGGCATTGCGTGCACATAATCGGTCGACTCGGCAAATTAAATGGCTGTACAGACAATGCTTTGCCGGTCGAATCGCCCTTCTTTGTTGTGACTAAGGTGGTGGTATCTGGTCGCAGAATGGCCACGAACACTCTTCAATCGATAAGAACATCTACTTTCACATCGACTCGACGAGCGACTGGACACAACATCTCTAGCACAACTCCCAATCCACGCATAAAGTCTGCTAGCAAGATAAGGACCACTAGATCGACTTGAGAAACAGGTGGTGCAGAAACCGAGCGACGAGTTACGCGCGCTGAAGCAGTGATCAGCCAGGCGCATTACACACTAGTATACTAAATTGTCCTTAAGGTTACCGTTGAATGAGGCTACCCAATTTCTGATTTGACGGCCTTATCAGCAGAACTTTGAGCCACATACTCTACTTTACATTTGGTTAACCAATACAAATTAAGGAAGATCTCTAAATCTATCATTTTATAGCAAGTTCCCAAATTTTATGCCATTCTTTGTGGTAGGATCTTCACTGAAGAAGCTTAACCTTAGCTACTTGATTATCAAATTCAAATAATTAATTTCGTCACTTTCTCCAGCACAGCATGCACCAACGTAGAATGCTAAGGTCCCTAGTGTATGGTTCATGCCCTACGAAAACTGCGGTTTTATACGATAGCCGTTCTCAATTCTTAAAAAATGTCAAAGGGAAATCGAATTAATATTACCTGCATCGAATTTTCCGGAATTTCATCGTAAGGCACAGGAAAATACAGGATTGCGATTGACTAGTATTTAGCCAGGTGACATCCACATCATTAACAATCCAAGCAAATGCAGTGAACTTCGAATATTGAACGAAATCGCGAGGTTAGCACATCCTAAAACAGAAAAAAGATAGAGCACTCACTCAAAAACTAGTCGAATAGAATCTCGACTAAAAGTAGATACATCAGGGGCAGTGGGTTATGGGGCTTTGGAAGGCGAGAGCTCGTAGGACAGCATCCTCGTGAGACCGGGTTGCAGTTTCACCGTACAAACATCGGCTCACAGGAGTGTGCATTCATGAGAAAGGAAGGCCCAATCCATCCTAAACAATATCCGAGTGTTGCTGCAGTGAGTCACGTTTTATCCACACCACTCACGCACACATGCACAAGAGTAGGCAGCAGGAGGGTTGCACTCTCTCCACCCATTAGGCAGCACAACCAAATGCGCATGTACAGACACAGGCAACACACACCTCTGCCATCGGAGGAGTGGAGAGAGAACTTTGAGACGCCATTGTTTGCGGGATAGTGCATAATCTCCATGCCCACCTATCACATGAAGGGCCGTCACTTTGCGATGATTCTTCAAGGCTATACGCAGAACTCCTAATTATCTCCATTGTGGGTGTATCGGCAGGATGTGTGGAAGAATCAGTGCTTAGGAGATACGAGAATCGAGAAATAAATAATTTCCAATGATGAAAATGAGAGATAGAGTGGAGAAGCAGCCTCAGACGGCTTATGTGGCGGAATAAAATGTGGTGAGGAGGTGACTCAAAACAGATGGCAATAGGTACTTGTGAAAAAAAAACAGACGGGCATGTTGTATATTTCAGTTTTGTAAAAGATTTTCAACACAGCGAGTGAAATGGAAGTAGGTACGCAGTACTATTATGTACATCGATGCGCTTCAAGTTGTACCTTGCAGCAACAGCTGCCGACTCCAATACTTGATTCTAATAGCAGAAAAAACTGTCAGATACGAAACCACGTAAAAACACACTGGGTGATACTTCCAAACAAACAAATAAGTTGATACCGTAATATGTTATGCGTCCCCATGTTATTCGTACAGCATACACCGACGTGGGAAGGTTAATCTACATTCAAATCACCAAGACTCGAAGCGCTAGCAAAAAAAACACAAATAAATAATAACAAAAAGGACACCTACTCAGGAATGTAGTCGATTCAAGGCAAACGCGACCATCAGCTGACCCTCATGGAAATCAGACTGGAGTTCATAGGAACGTGATGTCTCCAGAGCCTTCAGTACCGCATTCACATCATCTCGATGGTCGTCTTCATTTGCATAAGGAAGATTCATTTAAGTGAATAGTGTAAATTTCCACAAAAAAATGTACATACGACATAATTTACAGAGTGAACTTAAGGTGGGGAGATCAAGATTTTAGATCGAGTCTCTTCTAAAAGATACCACTATGAAGTGACCAAGCGCAGAGCTCTCATTCTGAAAATTACCAGACTCCAGAAAAGAACTACAATTCATACATTAAAACATCAGCATGGAGGCAAACCTTACCTTGATTTTCCGCCAATTCTTTCATTGCAAGGTTCAGCATATTTAGAAGTAGATTATTTTTAGCCAACCAGCTCCTACCAATATCACTCTCAGCTGCCTCGTTACCACTCCACTGGCCATTTGCGAGGCTAGTCAAGGCTCTAAATAACATAAATAAAGAGGAGTTTGTACTGCCAACTTGGCGAAAGCCAAAGAGACTTGAAGAGACACCACATGCAAAATTGAAGCACCACTTATTGCCCAGTGCTGAATAAATGTTTTGTTATAACAGTGATCAAAGAAAATCACTGAAGCACATAGTTTTTGGTCGCCCCGAAATGCAACGAATGTGAAAGGGTCAAAACGACTAGCAAACATGACTGACATCAGATATTTCCAACACTTTTTGGATTGAATCAGAGAATGGACAAACTGGACTCCACCCTTAAAACTACTAGCGCGCACTAGTTGAAATCCATGTGATTAAAATACAGAATACTTGTAAATATTTAGAGCCACAATCAAGGGAATTGCAACTGTCAAAACAATCTGAGTACAAGATTTTCTCAACCATACCACATTTAGATTAGCGAAACAAGTAGTAGTGATATTCACTGAAAATCGAGCAGCAGGTTTGAGTCCTAGGAACAAGTAGACAGCTTAAGAAATAGCCACTCCGGTAGCTCTTCCACATATGAATTTAATTAAATAATCCGCCTACTCAGACACTCAATTCCCCAACTAATCGAAATGAAGACCAACGTCTTTGTGGGCAAACAGCGTAGTTTTCAGGTAAATTCTCACAAAATCACCCGCCGCGAATTCAAAACTAGCCAAGCATCAAAGTCTAAAATTGTTTTCGAACAAAGGCAATAATTTTGTACCAAAATCATGCCCTTGAAGGGATAGATTACTCAGCAATATTTTGAGTCATGCGTGAAGTAATCAATCAGTGCTCCCGAGTGAAGTTCATGAGGGAAGTACGTGAAGTTTGAAGGAGCATTTTACTCACACAATATAAGTAAAGAGGCTGCTAATGATGAGTTTCTCATGGACAAACTCCAGGGTGAGTAGGAGTTCCTCTTCCAGGAGCCTCGCAATGTCCAGATCGACGAGAAGAAAGAGAAAGGAGCCCTTAAGAGGCAAAGATTCGAAGCGACCCTGGCAGATACAGTCGAGCACGGCATGGAGAAGTAGCAGACCCGCAAGTAGCTGCGAGAGAATGTGGGCCGTGAGGTCACGAGTGAGGAAGGCCGCACGGAAAATCTGTTGAGACGACAAGGGAAGAGTGAGGAGTATAAGCTCGAGATCTATAGTGTTTGGTCAACCGAGGGAATGAGTGACGGTTGAGGAGGAAACTTTCTTGGAACCACATAATCATGTTTCGAAATGAGAGCAAAAATTTTGATTAATCATGCCAAGTAAAGGTATCCAGCCCACGAACATATTCAATTAGGGCGTCATTTATTTCTCGAAAGTAAGTTCAGGTGGCAGGATTTAAACTTTACAAAGATCCCTCCGCGTTAGTTAGGTTAAAAGTTGATTTTCAACAAGGACGCAATATGAGCGTACGGTAGTACTGAAGTAAATCCTGGGTAAATGGTATAATTTATTCACAAGAATTGCATTTTAAAAAGTATAAATCACTTATATTTCCTTTTCTCTTCATGGGCGAATGAATTTTAGCCTTATAAATGAGAGAACTACTAAACAATTAAGTTGCTGAAAAATATTACGGTTTCATCGACTTTAAATTATACAAAAAAGGACAAACCTGTTCGTAAGCTATATTAGTAGAGAACAAAGTATCTAGCCCAAAAGAGACGATCGTACACACTTCAATTCTGCCCTTTGGAAATCCTAACAGACCAAGTCCTTCGAAGAGGCGGTGCTAAGCGTCGGCATAATCGGACCTCTGGCGATTTCAAGCATTTGCTTGGTCGCCAAACCCAAAACCGGAGAAAGGGAATAATAGAAATAACGCACAGAGATAACGAAGCCGACGGTTGCACGAACGAATCGACACGCCTCCTCGGTGGTGTAATTAGAGGCGGGGACACTTCCCAAAGCAACGTGACTCATCTGCAGACCTAGGTGCTCGATCAGTGTAGAGGCCTTCGGAAGAAGCAGATCTCGCGTCGCTGTGGCTGAAAAAAAGGAACACAAAAGACCAGAGATTTTCATGCCACTAAGAAAAACGTGGCTTACAGCTGTTTGGGTTGAGATGCGCGCACGTCGGCAAGTATTTGCATTTCAATTGGCCTAATTCACCTCTTATCCAAATCCACCCTTAGGAAAATACCGGTATGTGTAAAGGTTATTGTGCAACTTCCTCTTAAACTACACACCCACAAATTTATGCAAATTTATCTTACTCTAAACCAGTTAGGCTTTTGTCAAATAACAAAAGAATACACTTTCGCAAAATTTTTCACCGATGGGTTTTAAAATTCGTAGTGTGATTACTTAAGCGAAGAATGCCCATTAATTTCTTCTTCTTCACCAGTACTGGCATTATGAAATAGCAGGAACTGCGACAGAAACAATGTTTTCAGTTTGCGTAAGAAGTTTAGCAATGCTAGAGAACATGACGCAATTAATTTTGTCTTAAGTTTCTTAAGTCGCGAAAGATTAATGGTTGAGAAACGAGACAAGATCGGAGAGACCATCTCAAAGGTAAGGCATATTAATTGATCACACTAAATACTGTCCTTGACGAAACTTATAGAAGGCAACTTGATCTGATAATAGAGCTACCTACAGCGATCCTTTATTTTCTAGATATCTTGCCAAAATTCCAACCAAACCCCCTCTTCAGATTAAATGTTCATCCGACACAGTGGTAAATAACAGTTCGTTTGAGATCGACTAAAGTTTCCACTTTCAAGTCATCGTTTAAGACCCATTAACGGTGCGAGTGCCCAGCATTAACAGAAACTGATCAAGGAATGCCGTCAAAAACGTAATACACTATAAGTGAGGCTTACATTGGTGAAGAAAGTCCAGGTGGGAAACGGCAAGGAGGGCAGTATCGAGGGTTTTAGCCCAATCATTGTCGCAGGTAGAGGGGGACGGGGAAAGCGACGGTGAAGCTAAGAGTTTGGAAACAAGGAAAGCGACCATGCGCACCTCCTTGGTGCGGTCGTCCTCAGCCAGCACCCCCAGCATCCACTGACGGAGGGCATGCAGACAACCCTCCTCGTCATCTGGCCCCGTGAGACGCGAGCACTGCATGGGCTGACTCCGCGACACCGACCTGCAATTCACCGATTGACCAAGAAAAAAGAGGTAAAATAAGTGTCGAGGGGAATAACACTAAACTAGTTTTAGGTAGTTGCTAAATGTGACTATGGAGAGCAATTTGCCCTAACCAAATCGCTATCAGAAAGCAGGTTAATGAAAACAATACCAGTTGATCTCACTTGATTACTTTAATGTTTATTTAAAAGCCTCTAGAATTCGGGAGCATCAATCGACTAGGTTCTGCAATTGCATTATTTGGATAAATGTTTAAATGTGACACCGTTAGACTCCTAATATGAAGCATTCATGGCGCATGAAAACCCCTTCAAGGAAAAAAACAGCCCCACAAATGGGAAATCTGGTGGCATTTCTCACTAGTTTGCATGAAATTCAGTCCTTATGAAGTCTGCAATTCACCTCATATAGACCACTAGCATTTGCCCAGCACCATTGAGTTCATCCTCATTTATTTATTCGCCAGGTACGTGTCAATACACAAACTACCTAGCACTAGCACCAAAAAACAATCATGTCACTGGCATTTAATCTTTAATGCGACACATATAGTTCGGAGCGCAAGTATAGGTAATTAAGTATCATATAAAATCCAAATTATCACGACGATGCGTACTAAATGAAGGATAGAGCATAAGTCCTCTTAAAGCTGATCGCTAACATTTGGATATAAATATCAGGCCTCCAACTAGCATTTCCCACTTTATAGAACTCGAAAAATAGCAGTGTGATGTTAATTAGGGAAATAGCTAAACACCATAGAGCCAGAGGAGCAATTTCCCGTATTTTTAGGTATTTTGCTTAACGTAATTCACTTACGCAAGAATGCTTGGGTTATTTGTGTAAGATGCACTGAAACCACCGTCAAAGTATGGAATTTTCGGTCGAAGAGGCGTGTGGAAACTCGTAGTAGAAGCATCCTTATTCAACGCCTCCTCCAGGAAGGCTCTATCTCGTTCGGTTAACTGAAAATTTTAAAAACCCTTGCTACTAACTCATCACAGGTAGCACCATTAGCACCACAGACTCACCTTTCCAGCCATTGTGGATATCTGCTCAGTAGAGTATGCGCCGCGAGCCGCCTTGAGGCACTCCAAAGCCGCCCGATGGACCTCCTTGTGCGACGAGCCGACATGCTGGGCAATCGCCTTGATATCCGCAACTGAAGGATTGGGCAGGCTCGGAAAACGCGTTAGTAAAAGCTTTACCAGGAGGAGCATTTCTAAGAAGAGAGAGATCAGCAACCCCTATGCGTCTGTGTGTGACAGAGGTCAAAACAAATAACACACACATAAACATGTTCACGCAAAAGTATTTGGTACTTGCAAAGTGCAGAATTCTGCACTAACTGTGATAAAACAATGTTTTTTGGTGCCCGTGTAGATCTGTCAAGCTACTGACACCTACCTTTGAGAATCTCCGTCTCAGTGACAGTGCTCATAGCCTCCATGACGATTAAGTAGACCTCATCGGCCGAGAGGACACGACAGAGGCTGAAGAGGAGACTGGTGAGACGACAGCACCTCTCCGAAACCTGGCCAAAGTACTGATTGAGCATGTGGGGTGCAAAAAGCGGCCAAGGTAGTAGGATTCGCACCTCAGCAGGCGTCAAGGTCATCTTCGCATCAGCCAGACGAGCTATGAGTTCGTCTAAGTATTCAAGAGCTGTTGCAAAGAAGAAAATACTTCATCAAACGGAATGCAACCTCTACTAGGAGACCGACTAAGTGGGAACCAATTCCGAAATATGATAATAGAAGTAAGGTGAAGGGAGAGTGACTAGGCATACCTTGGGACACGACCTCAGGAACAAGAGTTTCGGAGACGAAGCAGGATTCAGCCATCCACTGGAAGAGGAGATCTAAGTTGGCCAGTGTGTCTGACAACAGGTCTCGGTGGTGCTCGGGCGCCTTCTGCCGAGATGGAGTGTGTTGCAGCAGGAGGTGCGTCAGCAAAACCAGAGCCTCCCTTGTCTTGTCAGGGTTCGAGTCCCACAAAGTTAAGAGATGTCTAAGGTTGGGGTGCATACCGGCATCAATGAAATCACCCTCGAGACGTTGGCGAGTGGGCTGTAAAAACAAAAACTTGACTATTACACCGAAAGAGAGGGATAAATGTATAGGATCAAATCAGCATTGTAGGAATGATAAAAAAGAAAGTGTAGACAAAATGAATTAGTCACTAACAGAACGGAACTAGTTTGGCAAAAAAACGCCATTAGTTCGCCTTCATATGAGGGGTTTAATCTTTTCTCATAAGTCGAACAAGTTTTGGGATGAGTATTTGGGGGTCCATTTATAAAATCGGGTTTTAGTGCACGATGGAGATGATGTCTTACATGAAGAGTCCCCGTAGCCAGCTGGACGAGACGTGTCTTCTTGGCTCTGAAATCGGCAATCAGAAGAGGCACAGAGACCGCACAGAAAGTCGAGGCGAGTCGGAGAGAAGACTGACTCTCAACAGCAAAATCCCCTACGACTTTCACTTCATCTTCTGCCTCTGCCTCGTCTTTCTCGAATATGGGTTTTTCTATGCCACTATACACTGAGCGTTGAAGGGCCTCTGAGGGACTGTTCAAAACTGTGGTCATTCTGCAAAAGGGACAGGTTTGGGTCTTCATTTAGGTATTGAATTGGTGCAACAATTGCGCTGATTACAAAATTGGAGAAAATGTAGGTTTCCAATAGCTCTCAGATAAGCATATCTTATGGCACTGCTCGCTGAGGCAAATAGCCTGTTTTACAATCGGTGCTATGCAAGCAGAAAATACAATTTGAATTAAGTCCCCGTGGAAAACAACGCTGAAGAAATATTTTGAGTTATCAAGGCTTTTGGTCACTTGACTACCTGAATTGGTAAAAACGAAAACCTAGAGTTGTATTGATATAATGTGCGAATGCATGGTGATAGTCAAGACTAACATTTCGAATTTCAATGAGGTACTAATGTTAAAGCACGTGCGACGCGATTAAGAGCATGTCAAATACTGATTTCATCGTTTGTTACGAGGTAATGGTAAAAAAATCACGAGACACCGAGAAGTATGAAGAAATGTACTCAAGAAAATAAGGAGCATTCTGTTCCTGAGAAATACTGTCCAAGTTTGGAAAGTTCACAAAATAAACAGATTACAAAAAGTGTATACAAAAGCGGGTGCGTAATATACCTTCTAGAGGTCCCTTCTAGTTTTCGATGAGTTGGAGAGGAGAACGAAAGTGGAACCTGTGAGGCGGTTCGGTCACTAATACGCCGAGGTGTTTCGTGTGCCATTGCTACTGCCGCGTCTTCGCGGCCCTGGAACTCGTCACGTAGCAAAGCCGCGATCGCCGACTTGCTCGAGCCCTCGAGATCTGCTCGGAAAGCCTCAGGGGAAGGGCTCCCAACATCAACACCACCGCTGCTGTTGCGGCCAAGACTTGCGTAGACGGCGCCCGCCAATTTCACGTAGGCGTGCCGCACCGGCTCTGCGCTACTGTTGAAACCTTCTCTTAAGTGTTTCACTGTCAGTAGATAGTTGAGGCTATAAATTAAAAAAAATAATTATTTTCCTAAATTTATCCGATTCAAGGATATGGACAATACCCAGACCACTTTTTAACAATTTGAACTAAAAATTTTTACCTCGAGTAGTCACGAATTGCACATCAATGCACCGATTTTTTTTTCGTAATTTAGAGATGCAATACCCACGCCCACTTTTCATTCTCATCTCAACATGATGGTTTGATGGGACGCAAACCGATCTGGTCCTCAAGTAAGTTAGAGATAAAAACAAAAGGAAAAAAGTGATATTGCGTTTAACTGAGTGACTCTTACAAAAAACGGAGACAAAACAGTCATTTGAATCAACGCGTAATTATCTCTGACAGATTAAGGGATACAAGATCAAAACGAATTAAAGCTAGGGAAAACAGACGTAGACGATCCTGTGCGCCATCTAAATAGTAAAGTAGTACGACATAAAGAAAGGTTATGAATCCGTTGTATTTCCGATAATTTGTAACTCCAAGAAAATAAAAAACAATTATATGGTTAAATTGGCATTAGCCATTACCGATCATGTCTTTACTCCTCGAAGTTAAGAAATATCAGTTTCGTTATATTGTAGGATAATTCGGTTGTAATTCTGTCTGAACAGAATATGAAGTCCTTGACCCTGTTCGACTATTCGAATGGTCGCAAAACGCGAAATGGTAGAGAAAGGCCTCACCAAAAGCCGTCTGAGCGCTCGATGACTTGCGTCAGCCAGAGGATGATGTGCTCGGTGGACTTGGGTATCTTGGTGGAGGCAGCAAGACGAAGAAGGGCGTCACCAAGCACAGGAAGACCGCAGCACCGCTCCAGTCCGTTGAGGCAGGTCTCGCAGGAGGAGACGTTTTTTGGGGTGCATATGAGATTCACCAGGTTGGTAGTTAGCGTCTCAAAGAGGGTTTCGCACATGAATGACACCCTTGAGTACTCTAAAATGGCTCCTATCGTCTCCAAGACTCGGCACCTAACCTAAAGTGAGGAGAGGGAACAGCGGGTCCCATTTAACTAGATAATGATCACCAAACTCAATTGTGGAGGATGCCAGTATCCCCAGAAAACGCTTCTATTCAACTTTCTGGAAGTATCCTGACGGCCAATATCCGAACATTCGGAAGTTGGGCTCTCACATTCTCCTGGCTGGCTCATATCAAGCATAGGCGGACTTTAAGTATGCTCAGACAATTCCCGCAACCCACCAAATAGGCACGTATGCACTCGCTGTGCGTTTGGAGCTCACAACAGCAAAATAACATTTTCAGGAATGTCAGATGATGAATAAGCCAATCTGCCATGTGGGATTGCAATCGTAACTACTAAAGACCTTTTGCCGAGTACGATCTCTACCGTAAAAATTAGTCTGTAGACCTAAGAACTCAAAAACATTAAAAGGTAGTCAAGCCCGGCATTTCTATATTTTTTTTCCGCTCAAAATGTTATCTTGATTCATTCCACAATCGAGCAAAACAAGTTAATAACCATCTAGAGCAGCATAAATTTTTTAAAATATCACGTAAAATACCTGCACATTCGACTCCTTCAAGCCTGGTGCCTGCAGAAGAAGACGGATCAATGCCTGAGGGAAAGCAGGAGAATCGAGGGAAAAGGAGGAAATAGCGGAATAGAGGCGGTCGACCGATTCAAATCTTTCTCTCCAGTTACTTGAACTCAAGTTATTGACAACACTCTCAGGTATGGATCTAGAAAGAGAGAACACCCAGACAATTCTTTTGCATCTTGCCATCAAACGAGCATTTTAATGAAAAGGCAATCATTTAATGAAAGGGTGATATTAGATAAAGGTGTGTGATGCTGATAGTGGTAGTGGTCATATTATCAGCTTCTCATCCTTTAAGGAATTACATCAAGATTACAAACAACAAACACTCGTGCTGGATTGAGTGAAAGCCCCTGGTTTCCTAAATGTTCCCTGGGTTGCAAAGGTTCATTAATCTTGTCAACTAACTTTTGCGAGAAGATGCGTTTGACCTCCTCCTCGGACATATGCTGCTCGGTCGCAAAGGAGGCCGGAAGCTGTGCGGTTGTGGTAACACTGGCAGTTGCCTTTGCCTTCTTCGATTGTGGTGGTGGCACGACACCTGACGAAGCCAGTGGATGCCGTTTTCCAATAGCCTTCTGAAGTGAGGCCACTTGGACTTCTATGTCTAATCGACAAAAACTATATAAGCTCCCTAACATACAGCAAGCCTTTGTATTTGCGCCGTATAAGTATACGAAAATTCCCAATTCATGATTCAACAGTCAAGAAAATTAGACTGAATAAAGGCTAGAAAGACAAAAGTTACGTAGGATACTTGAGCAGATGACATACCCATTTTGGCATCAGCCAAAGTGGATTCAGCCTTGGGAGGACGCTCAACCTTTTTGGCAACGGCGGAAAGGCGTTGGTAGGCGAGATCAATGCGAGCCTTTTTGTTATCATCGAAAACGTCGAGAGTGAGTCGGGCGTAGATAGAGTCATCGTCGAGGTAGCGGCGCGCGATAGCGAGGGTATGGCAAGCAGCTTCACGCACTCCGTCGCTGCGCGCCTCCATCAGCTCCACGAGGGGCGACAGCAGACGTCGGAAGAGGGTTCGCCGAACCGTGATGGAAGCGGAACCCCCTGACGCTTGCAAGGCGCGACCCAACAACCCCACCGCCTCCTCCTTCATGGTTGGATTGGCGGCCTTGTCTGATAAACTCACTAAAACTGCCTCTGTTATCGCCTCCATCGAGAGCTTAAAGAGGAAAGGCTTGGCGCTGCACACGCACTTGTCGTTGCCCAAAGGCAAAATATTATTCTTGCTGTATAATGAAAGGCTTATACTAAAAATTGACGTGCTTACGTAGAATAATTGGACTTGGAAAGATATGGTGGGGAAATTAATAAGAGCAAACGGAAATCAAGTATGTGGGGAGAGAAGAGCATCAACATAGTAGTACTTTATTAATTAAAACTCACAGTGTTAAAGGTTGCATCAACGGTAGAGCGAAGCGCTGAAATGACGAAAGGTTTACTAGATCTAAGTCCCGATAAGCAGGCTAGCAGAGTTGGCTTGGACAAAGGCGCAAAATCCTCTTTCATCGTGTTAGCCGCACGGGTAATAATATTCGCTGCTGCCGCAACCAACTGTAGGTGTGTATCAGTTAATAGAACCTAAAAAAGGTAGCGGAAACATACAGAGTCTTGAACGTGAACAAACGCTCAACTTACGTTAATAAGTGCGTTTACTAAATCAGAAGCTTCGAGTTGTGTGCAAACACCACATCGTAGTCTAGCATCGATTCTGTCCAACGCCTCCTTTCGTTCATTCCAACGTTTTGAGGACTGAAAAGGGGATAAAATAGATAAAACGAAATGTTTTCTCCTAAACGCGATATAAAAAACCACTTACAAGTTTTTCAACGAGCTCATTCATGACTTTTAGTGGCTGATGACCAGAGTAACCCTAAGCTGTAAAAATAATGTAGACGTAAATAAGTAGTGAATCAAGACAAAAACCTTGGTGAAACTGGTAAGAAATTCAAGGCAGCCCAATAATTTCAGGAATATACCTCAAATTTACCAAAACGGACACCTAAGTCCTACTTCCAAGGAAGAAATTATGAAATAAGTTTAAAGTGATTTTTAAACGAAGGGTAAGGCAGTACATTTACCGTGAGCACCCTGTTTGAAGAAAATATACCACCACACAATTTTCATTACTAAGCACCACAAAGTAATTGCAACTTCAATCAAAAAAACACTATGTTCCTTATTTCTGCCTCAGAAAGCGTCTAAATAACATATTTACAAAAGCCAAAACCTCGTCCCCAAAATCGTATTACGCATGAAGGCCATTAAACTTACGACCCTATGTGACCAAGATTTAAGAAGCTAAGAATTGAGTCAGTGAACATGCGGCGAAGCCAACGCCATTCACCTACTTGGCCAGCTCAATTCCAAGGCCGTTAAATCCGCAATTAAATTTGCCACTTTTCACATGCAAAAGTTCTACACATAAACAAAACAATTTTCTTAAATGCTTCATTGTGAGTTAAGCGTAGAGTAGGTAATCTATATGCATAAGAAACTTTGAGATGATGTGTTTAAAGCAACTTGTTCGGAGTGGTGTCGTGATCAAGAATTTAGTACAAATAGCTTCGTGAATTTAGCTGAATTGTGGTCACTTTCAGATTTAATTAGGATTTTGTGAAATATTAGCAATATTTTTAAATGGACCGGATGGCTTGTACAGAGCGAATGCAAACGTACTCCTAGTAGTTTATGCGGATGAAAGTCCTCGTATCCTAAATACTCTAGGCACTTAAGTATGTGTAATGTGTTGGTTGTTTGTTTAACGGTCCGTGTGGTAAAGAGCCACTTTTGACTTGGCCATTGTACCTCGCCGAGTGGGCTGGCCTTCGGGCTATGCCAGTAGCCCCAACACCTTCTCTATGTCAAATATATGTACATATATATTTCGCTCTAGTATAATATCTTCAATCGTCTTCAGGAAAGTCTTGGGACGCTACATATGAATAGACAGTACTGCAGCACTTCAAATTCTTTCTTGAAGTTGTAATAACCCGTTCCAATGGATAGGGAGACTTAATACGTGTGTGCAGAGGGGATGGGTGGTTCCTGGCGCGGCCATTGGCCAAGCCTCCAGGCGAGAGTAAAACTGAGGGGACCGAAAATCTTGAATCTTTTGGCATGTGGTCAGACAAAGCGTTAGACCTCTACATAACTCAATTTTTTCTATGGACTTCGTTCTCAACGATAGCAATGTATCCCAACAACTCTCTTATGGGTAGAGCTTCGTCCTATCCGTGGATTTTGTCGGAGGTTCTGTTGGCCTTGTTCTACTGAAGAATAGATGCTGCTCCAGTATCACGGGGCTACCATTCTGCTTCCATTCACACTTTACACTTTGACCTCATTTTGGTGATGCGCGGCAGTCCATGTTAAGTTCCACTCAGCTGTAGCGCCCCGAGACTTCCCTGAAGACGAAAGAAGACATGATACTGCGGTAGAATATATATATATATATTTAACATATAATATGGCTTGGGACTATAGGCTGGATCCGAGGGCAGCCCACCTGGCGAAGGTACAGATGGCCGAGACCCAGAGTGTCCCTTTACCAAAACCAAGAGTTAAACAACCAACATATTACACTGCTGGTAGAAACGTGGGAGAGGTGTCACTTATTCATGCAGTTAACATTGCCATATAGATGTTGCAGAGAGTTTCAAAATATAAGGTTTCACATTATTCAAGTCTGGCAATGCTTTAGTTGCTAGTGGCTTCTAACAGGACTTAAGATTTGACTGATCGTTAAATCGACGTCACTTTAATCCGTCTCTTGGGTGTCTTCACAGATTCAGCCATCTGCGATAGATACTCTCCCTCAGTAGCACTAAGTTTTGTTGATCAGTTATGGAAATCATGACAATTGCCCTTTCAGATCGGATTCGCTTGGAGTTGGCAACGATGTTGCTTCTCCATCCTTTCTGGGGTCGTAATAGGCCTTAACCAGTACGGAGATCAAATGAGCGGAGAAGAATGAAGTTCACTGCTTTTTCCCAGAGTAAGTTTAGAACAAACAGTACTCCTGTCCTAAAATTCTCGAAACACAGGCCCTTCAAAAGTTAAGATAGTTTTACCGTTTTGTAGAAAGGCAGGTAGTAGTCGTTTGGGTAATCATCTGCCACTACTTTCTATAACGCGTTAAATTTTTTTCCTTTCATGTAAAAAATGAACACAAGCATACCAATTTTCATTTTGCGAATCTACTTTTTATGACACTAGAGCGCAAATCTTAATTCTTTAATGCCCATGTTAAGAGCATTGCTATTTCTAATCAGACTTAGGAAATGTGTGTGTGATAATTAAGTGTAAATTATTTATAGGTAGAAATCTCCTTTATTCGACTATTTCTTTCATAAATCACATGTAACCATATTGGTCACTCAAAACTGTTTTATGCAAGTTGTTAAGGCAATCGGCAAAGAAGTAGCACTCATACTCATTCTAGAGAGTTGCAAACTTGTATGCGCGGTTTTAAGAATGTGTAGCGCCCTGAGTCTTGCCTGAAGCCAAAAGAAGCCATACTACTTGGGCGGAATATGCGTTGCCGGCGTAGGGAATGACTAAGGGGCAACTGGCCATGCCGCTCAGCGGAAGTATAATGACAGAGCCTTGAGTGCCTGCATAACCCAAACGAAGAGATAAACAGAAAACCAAAGTACTACCGCGGTTCTTATTCAGTCGTTCACAATGCAAAAATCCACTCGAAACTATTAATATTTGCTTTAATGGCTTGTTTATTTGTGTGATTTTAGTTCAGTATTAACAACTAGATTCTGAGGCGTCTGATAGATGGATTAATTAGAATACTTAGCTTTAGTAACAAATCCTCGGAGATTTATCTTTTCCCTAATATTGGAATTGTATGATGCATGCCACCTATGATTAATGCACTTTTCGCAAATTGCGAACTTAATGTTTTCAAACACGTAGACTATGTTTTGTTTTCGCGTTTGGTAGTTTTTGCAAATGCTGAACGCATCCTCGCTTACTTCACCCACAAACTGTTGAACAAAAAGTGATTTTTTTGTTTTGGGTTCGACACCGTCAGGCCGAAACTCCCTTTGATTAAATTACCAAACCATTGTGTGCACTGTCTCCACCCTGTTTGATAAGATAATTTTGCAGAAGATCAACTATGTAATTGTTGCCTTCTCTTTCTCCCCTCCCCATTGCAAGACGTCCACCGTCCCGCCACGGCAAACCCGCCCCTCATCCCCCTCTCTCCCACGCGGAGGAAATATTAATGAGTTTACTGAACCATCGATTTGTGTCCAACTTCTTTATTTTATTGCCGACGCGTCTGGTTGCGCAGCCGCTTTTTCCAACCCTCCGGGCAGAAAAGTGCTGGGCAGGGTATAGTGAATGGGGAGTGGCAAGCAGTGGATGTACCACTGGGGAAATCAGTATTTTATTCCTACTTATCTGGACGCTCAAGTGTGCGTGCGTAGCTCTGCTCGTGTTTTTTTGCATTCGCAGACACAAACGTAGCGCGCGCCTCGTCCAAACTCCCCTTCTAAGTAATTTAAATGACGGTCTATTAAAAAATGTCTATAAGCGTTTGGAATCGCGTCGTACTTATAGACAATTACTGTGAACTAAGACATAGGAAAATAAACGGAGGATATTAAAAATATGACTAGATGGGTCTGGGAGGTTAATCGCAGAATTGAAATCACTATCGAATTGGCGAAGAAATTAGACGATTGGCGTCTCTTAACACTAATGAGTTCCATATTTTTTATTCACCTTTTTAACTGTACTCATCTGGCTTTAAAATTACTATTCGAGAGGTGTCTATCCATTTGGCATAACTAGAAAAAAGTAACGCAAGCATCTACTCATGTTAACGCCTATTATTTGAGGTGTATGCGTACAAGGTGTATACATACAATGGCCAAAATTAAGGAGTGAACCAGCAGATGTGGATCTGATCTTCCTCAAAGAATTATATTTGCATATGCTCTTTGGCAATGCTATATTATGCATCAGCCTTATGCTAATTGCGTCATGGCCATTGGTTTGGCCGTGTGGAGGGTTGCAAGTCCTTTGGTATGACATCTAATCAAGCATATTCGCAGCCGTCGGTAAGTTAACTGCAATCCCCGTTGAATTTTTTAAATTCCTTTTAACGCACTCATCGGCTTGGATATGGCTTTTGTCCCCATTGGTTCACGCATATCACCCTTCCTAGTAGTTGGTAGTATTTGTGCTTTCTTTCTAGTGTTCCCGTCTCTTAGTGATTCAGTTGTGTGCTATCGAATCTTTTATATGCCTTGCTTGGTAACTACCGCAACTTCATTGTGAATATGGAATTGTAATTCATAAACAAAGAAAAGCGTTTAAGGCCTACCTACACCCTACACGCTGTAGTGTCGAGTACGGCCAGTGTCATAGAAACACAAGTGAATAAAATTCTACCCAGCAACTTAAGTGATAGATAAAGTGTGGCATCTTGTGACGATTTATAATAATGGTGGAAAATACAGTTAATGCATTTCTTTGCCATTTCAGTTCACGCATGAAATTTTTTCCACATTTCGTAAAGCTATCCCAAAATAATAATATATTGTAAAAATTTGATTTTGTAAGGTTTCCAACACACTGTTTATCGTTGGGGGATATTATGAGTGAAAAAGTTGAAATTTTTGAGGCGAAATCCGATCCGCATTTAGTTTTTGGCAATCAAATTTATTTAACTATCGAGTCATTATTTCATTTTTCCCAATCGGCACATCTCCACACAGATGCATTTGCACAAACGCCAGGTATGCATATTTTATATTAATTTTTCTCAGTGAAAAATCGCTTTAGCAACTCGTCTCAACAAGGGCACGGCACATCAGAGGTGAGCATTGTGAGGGTCCGCCGTGATACTGTCAGATTTCGGATAGGGTGGATTTTGAAAGAGCACGTATTCTCAACACATTGAAGTGGATCACTAGCGAGGTAGGAGGTTCTATTTCTTTACAATTTCTCACACGGCACCTTCACTTGTGTCTACTGAAGAAAGAAAAGTAGAACGCCTGTATTATTGTATCGAGGGTGGAGGTTTACTTCGAAGTTTAATGGCAAGAGCAGTAGGTTCCATTTTCTTAGTGTGATGAACTCCACTTTTGCCAAAAAATGGGAAAGTGGAATCTGTCAGGTAGTAGAAGGGATCTTTGGCGTATTTTTAACCCCCCGTCTTAAAGTACTTTCTGGACGGTTCGTGGCGGCGATAAAGACGATATACATGGGTCATTAGTTTTGCACCCTAGTTCAGTGTTAGTGTGTGTTTTAGCCCACGGTGTGATATGAGAGGAAAAATGAATAATTAAAATTGAAATTTTGAACAAGAGGGCCACTAAAACCTCACTGCTATTCTGTATGGTAGATGTTTTCACGAGGTAGTAAAATTAATCGAATTCCTCAAATCATTTATTAGAAAATAAGTATTTAACATCAATCCACCGAAACCCACACGCCCATTGACTGAATCCTTTCGACAAAGAGAATAGACTTCATTTCATCTATTCATCACTTTATCAAATCTTAGACAATAATGCTTCAAACGAAATTTGGCTCCATGTTGTAATGGGGAGGCTGTTGGGGTTTAGTTTGTAATTTCTGCCCTCTTGCATACGCAATCAACAGATTCCCCTTCCTTACCACTTTACAATAGGTTTAAGTAGACTCACTATTTGATTTTATCCCTTAACAACGTGGCGTTTTGTCGTCAAAATGCAAAATAATGCCCAAGTGGTAAGGGCAAATTGCATGACTGTGGGAATGAAGTCCACGAGGGCTGTCAGTTTTTAAACCATCAATGTATTAAAAGCAGTGGAAATGCTTTCAGTTATTTTTTCCTTAGGTTTCATGAGTTGACGTGATTTAAACATAGAGTTTCAACTCAGTTCTCCTTATGGCTAGATTAATTAACGGTTTTATTAGTCCTCGAAATCCCCTACAACCCAACAGTTGCTTCAGAATTCGCGTATAAGTGTCTTGTCAAAGATGGGAAATATTACTTACTCAAAATAGCCAAAGGAGATTTAGAGTTTTATTTTGCAATAGTGAAACAGACATGACGTTGCTCTGCTTTCTGACGGCATGCAACAGAATCGACTCAAAGAATAGATTGACCGTGTGGTGAGGTGGAGCATCAATTGCCTTCTTACTCTATCCGTCAAGAGATAAACATAGAGAGGGGCTTAAAAAAGCGGCGTTAGAATCCCTACACCTGAAATAGTGAACATATATCGCTACATCAAAAATCTGGACATGCAGCAGCGGCTGAGGGTGTGTTCCCTATTCTGCATCTCTTCCCACAGAGGCAGAGACTGATGCTGCCTTAGCATCTCATCAAGCACACACACAAAAGCATCATTAACGGAGGGGCGAGAGAGAGACAAGAGGAATACGTACGCACGCACGCAATCACGCAGACTCCGCTAACGGACTGCTGCGTCTGCACTATCACCGTCAGCATCACCGCCACCATCAGGCACCCTAACTGACGATGTCTGGAGACACACATGTAAATAGGTGAAGAATGAGACCAGTGATTACTTTCCCATATGATAAATGAGAAGGCCTAGTTTCCGCGCCCCAGTGGGCACAACCGTGGGCCTGTTGATGGGGGCATCGATAGTGCAGGAGGGATGGTGAGTGGGGGGAGGGGGCGCAATTGCTGTGGGCCGCCAGTCTTTTGGTTTTGGAGGCCACAGCAGTGCTGTATGCCAACCGCTTTACTTCATCACTCCAAAGAGCAAAAATATCTCTGTTAAAAAATCTATGTTTTTTTCCGTCATTCAAAAATCAAAGTGGTCTTTCCTAAAACCCTCATCTTTTTACTAGTGAGGTGATTGATAAATCTGGGTTATGGTAGTAACAACATATAACTAAATAAATAAACAATTAAGAAAAAGAGACTCAAGATTAATCTATTGCATTCATTGGTTAAATAAATGAAATGCCTCAGTAACTCTTAAATACACTGCACCAAAAATACGGTGAAAGAATGCACCATGAGCGTGTGTTGGGTGGCGTATTTTATGCTGTTCTTTCAGGAGTTACTCTCTAAAGTAATTTGCCCTCAAAATCGTTCTGGATCGGTATTCCTCTATGCGTATTTGAATGGTAAATATTTATTTATCTTGTCCTTTACTTTGTATCCTTGATTGCCTTGTCAAAACGATGATGAGGGTAACCAAGGTCAGAAAAATATGTAGGTCTACCGGTTGAATGCGACTAGTAATAATAGGACGTAACATCAAAACGAGCAAAGTTATAAGTTATAACGAAGTATAAATGCAGGGAATTACGATTATTAGTGAACTATGTCATTACTTTCTAGCCCTTTGACTAAGCCATGCCGAATTCTTGTTTTCGTTAGGGATGTACAAAGTTGAACACCGAAGGGACCACACTATTTTGAGAAATGAGGTTGAGAAGCACGACTTCACATTTGTTATCCCATAATTATAAACTACTAAGCACAACTATAGGACCTCTTAGGACGCATAGGTCCACTTTTCCATGATATTTATTTGGGTAAAAAGTACATGCGCTCAGTCTTAATGAGAAAACTTTCTACTCGCTTTAGTGAGTAGAAGGAAATGAAGCAGGAAACATCGAGTCTGCCACTCATCTTCACGGTGACCAGCGCGGTGGCCCTCCTCGGCCTGACGATATTCACTGCGATCGCTGTCTACAGACAACTGCTACCACGATTTTTACGCCTCATGTTAGAGGGAGTGTGCCTAGTGGGCGCGACAGGGCTAGCGACCTTCCTACTATGTCATTACGGACTGTATACGCGCGCCCTCACTCTCACCCTAGGCGATCAGCTCCTCCTTGCACCTCACACCGACGCCGACCTTGACTCCCATCTCCTCAAGCTCTTCTGCCACTGCCTCCGCGTCAGCTCCGATAAGCCTGGTCTCACTGTCTGGACCGCAGCTGTCTCCCCCAATCGTGTCACTGGCCGACTCTACACCCTCTTGCTACCGGTAAGTGCTAACCTCATTCCCCTTCCTCTTCTCCCCCACTTGTCGCCATCCTTTACACATGTTTCTATGTAAAGTCAACTATATGGCATTGAGGCACGCGACTACTGCTTATGTGAAGGAGGTCCCATCACGATCCTCAGCAGCTTTAACAAAGAAGAAAAGCGTGTCATATAAACCATGGTCATCTTAAGTACGGTTTGTTGACCTCTAACAGCATGTATTTGATCGTCCTTCAACAGAACATGGAAGCCGTGAACAGGAAAATATTTCTAAGAAATTTTATCCTTTATATTGATAAAATTCGAGCTTCTTAATTTAACATCAGCATTTGCGATTGATCTCGAGCTTGAGAAAGTATGCTTTTAGAAGAGGTAAACTGGCCTCTTTTACCAGGCATGCCTTAAATTCTAGTCTGAAAAGATTATTTGGAAGACGCTGTGTAGTAACTTTAATTTCCTCTGTAACAGGAGCAAGATACAAATCTTCACTCAAAATCGTCATAAGGGTCGATTTGAGAGTAGTATTTTTAATTATGTGCCGGTTATCTTTGACAATTTGCGCTAGCTTCCCGTTCCCTCTCTAGTCACGGTCTTGTACATTGACAGCACACGTACGGCGGGAAAGGGATGGGCCATTACTCAAATGACGCATGGAGTATGCGCCTCTGTCGGAGGAAGGGCGAGAGGAGGGATTAGAGGTGAGGCGAGTGGGAGAGGGAGCAGCAGAGGAGAGGTATATTCCTTTTGAAGCCCATTTTTACCGCCTCTGGTGTCTCGCTCGTACTTGCGCTCTCGTTTGAAAGCCTCCTCTCCTATCCTCGCCTCCTTAACGTACTCTCACAAGCGCACTTGCACCCACGCATGCACGCGTACAGAAAACGCCTCTTGCAACATCGACACCACCGCCACTACATACAACACCAATGGGACTGGCAAGCTGTGTTCGCCGATCCCTTCGGGGGTGAGGGGGGTTTGCAGGGTGTAATGGATGCATTTTGGATGCGAAAAAAAAGCATACTTATATGGCAGTCTCGTTGGTCGCCAGGGCTTTCTCCAGGCAGGCGTATTTATTTTGAGGTCGTTTTTTAAGTCTAGCATGTTTAATTATATATACAGTGTTTCAATTAATATAAAGGCCTCCCTTTACAAGTTCTTTTTATTATTAAGGCAGATTGTCTCACTATCTCCTATGTCCACTTCCCCAAATGGCCCTGTTCTCGATAGCTAACCTCATCACGAAAGTGCTTTTGAGCTCAAACACTAACCAATTTAACCCCCCCCCCTCCCCCTAACTTGGTGTCACCAAAGTAGACAACTGTCATAAACGCCTGATGTACGTGAATCATAGACAAATCAACTCTCATTCCAAAAACCAGTCGATATTTTTTACTTTTAAAAGTGATTCAGTGTTCATATATTCTAGCACTTTGTTTGTATTTATTTGCAAATCAACCACTTACTTCGTGTGTTTCGTCCAACCTGCATTTGCTTGTTTGTGAAAGGTAATAACACAGTTTCTGGTGAATTGTCATTCTATGGACATTTGGCCACGTTTTGCGTGTGCGATGAGGTTTTGCTTTATTCTCGGCAAAGTTACGCCTTTGGCTACCCCTAAGTTATCTGTCCGTACTGGGGAACTTAATGATGGCTGCGGCTAGTCAGTGCTCTCGCTCCTCTAACTTCTGTTAGTAAAGTTGTCACATCGCCCACAAATTGCAGTTGCAGTCAGCAAAACCCACACTGCGACGATGTCATTTTACCCGCACTCCATTGTCTTTGTTAGGCTCTAACATTTAGATATCCCTGGCACTGAAGATTTGCTGTGTACAAAAGGGGAATACTTTACAAGCATATTTTTAAGGTTCAGTTTGTTAAGCGAAAGATTTTTAAGGGCACTCGATAGACTTGTCATTGCGCCGTGACATGATGGCTTATTTATATTTAGATCCTCCTTAAATTTCTGGTTAAATAATATGCAGAAGCAGAAAATTGGACCACTAAAATGAACTCGCTTTCTTATGTAAATGTCTTTGCATGCAGTCTTGGAATTTTTACTTGTTTCATTCATTCAAATGTCAAAATTGCCGTTTCCACATTATTAAAGAGCCCATATTCATGAAAACTTTTCATCATGTCGATGTAATAAACTCCCGTAGTCTGCAAGTCAGTCAGAAGCTTTCCCGTTTGTGCTTTACCAATTTTACTTAACCAGTCCCCTCTTCATTACAGTCCGCAATGCAAGAAGTAACTTGCGATAGGAAAAAGAACAATCAAATGAAAATTTTTATTAAATAGTCCTATCGAAGTCTTTACTTTGTGTGCGCTACTCTTTGTCAGATTAACAACCTAGGTTTAAAATTGCTAGCCTTACAACTGTTTTCATAGACTCTACCATCACTACTCAATAAATTCCTTTGCTTGATACGGCTCTTAAATAAAAAATTTATAGCCTCATGTTGACAGGGAATCAAAATTGCTTGAAGAAACTTACTTAGCCCATATTGCTGCCTTATGATGAGCGCTGGTGCATGTTAGAATATTTTTCCGCTGAATTTTTGAAAGAACAAACGTATGCCGTCAAAACGTGTCAACAGTGTGTCTGTTTGGGTTGATTGGCCAAAATAGGCAGCAGTTTTGCCATTGTAGTCATCCAGTTCAACAGAGGAAGATGCTCAAACACGTCGCGTCCCAGAGCAGTAATCAGCCTCACGAAAGCGACGCGCGGGACTTAAAAACAGCTCTCATTCTCTCAGCTTACAACATTGATAGTAGTAATTAACAGCGGATGTCATGCAAACCCTTTAATAAGTCAGAACAGACTCCCGCTTAGTCGCCTCAGCCCTGTCTACATTTATTTTAATGAAAACCATGCGTGCAATCAAGTAGCCCGACAAAAAACAGTGAACGCGCCCCAAATCACCGCCCCAGAGTGCCCTGCACGCGCACAAGCGTTGGAGGACAAAAAAACTATCGGAAGTCGTCGCTTCAGTGTTATAGAAAAGTGCCGCCAGCCGGTGTGAGTAGGGGAATGTGCGGGCGACACGGCAGACTGCGCTACGCTCTTTCGCTCGCTCGTTTGCTAGCTGGCTAATTCGCTCTCTCTCTCTCTCTCTCGCTGCTTGTTCTGGTAGGACGGAAAAGGG